CTCCCTCCTCCATCCTCCCCCCCCCTTAAGAAGCAGGTGTGGTCCCCAAGGGTCCCAGATGGGGCCCCATCTCCCTCCGGTGAGTCTGGGCCCTAACGGCACCATAGGGAGCAGTCGTGAAGCCGTTCCACCCCGAGTTACAGCCGAGCAGGCAGCAGCACCCACGGCGTCTGCTCCTGGGGAATCTGCACCCTGCACTGCCAAAACTTAAACCTTAATCTTTATCAAATGCTATTTCCATGTGAGGTTCCTATTCAAGGATAGTTCAAAGCTTTCCTTAATTTTTTGAAACTGCCTTCCTACATTTTACATGTAAATGTCCCTTGTGTGTTGTAAAGCTCCAAATGATGTGGTCGTCTTTCCGAGTAGTCGCATTAGGGCTGCATCAGTGGCTCATTCCACTCATTTCTTTCACTACCACACAAGAGATGAAAATGCCATAGTATCTTGTATAAACTTTCTAATGCATCCCATATTTTATCCCTGTAACTTTTTTCACTTATCTCTCTCACCACCTGTCTGTAAACTCTTCAAAAAGCTCATCGCAATACTTATCTTCATTTATTGTTGTTGCTTTTTTGAGAGACTCTTGCTATGTAGCCCAGGCTGGCCTGGAACTCACCAAGACCCTCCTGCCTCAGCCTCCTGGGTCCAGGGTGACAGGTGTGGGTCACCAGGTATGCCCCCATCTTTATCTTCTGGCCCTCAATACACAGCCAGTTATCCAGGTAGAGTTGGACATTCAGAGAGCTGTGCTTATTGGAGGGAAACAGTGAAGGGAAGCAATCTGGGAGGAAAAGAGAGGAAGGACCAGGGAAACTATAGCAGGAGCTCTACGAGTTAAAGCTGCATCCTCATTTGCCTTTGTAGCAATTTTGTAACTTGGGGTAGAAAAGCACCCTCTTGACTGTTTCCACAATACAAGTCTTCCTTGGAATTACCATGTTGGCTCTGCTCTGTTTTTTGCTTTGGCTGTCTTAGGGTGTCAGGACTTGAACCCAGCACTCTGCGAGCCACCGCTCTGTTGTTTTCCAGACACGCCCTCAACTGCCCCCCCTGCAGAGGTGGACCTGCGAGTTGCCCCTCTGCAGGGACTGCTCCACCCAGAGAAAGAGGACCACACCAGCACGGCTGCCCGGGCTCTGCCTGGAAGGTGCCGTCCCAGGCCGACTTGGGCAACCTGAAGGGCAGTGAGGAGCCCTTCCCAACAGCAGCCGTGCCGGCACCAGTCCCTCGCCTGGCAGAGCGCGGTGCTGAGGACCTGCTCACTTCCTCCCGCCAAGGTCCAAATGTGGATGTGCACCGTGGCCCCGGGGCCTTGGGGACCGGAGGCCCTGCAGTTGGTCTGGAGGTGCCCATGAGCCCCTGGGGTTCTAAGGAGCCCCCAGACTGAGAACCGCCACGCGGGGACCGACTGCACCGCCTCTTCCATCCCATTGCACACAGGGGCATCAGGAATGGGTGTCTCTGGGTGGCAGCAGGGATCGAGCGCTTCAGGCTGCGGGTTGGTCCCGAGGACAGCAAACACATGCAGGGAAGCCTGGGCCTGAGCCGGGGCCACCCGGCCGGGGGACCCTTCTCCCGGACAGAGGCATTTCCTTGGGGGCCGCAGTGTCATTGAAGAGTCGGTTTGTTCTCCGGCAAACTGTCCTTTCCCACTCTGTACCGATGGGTGGAGAGCAGCGGGCCATTGGCACCTTTCCCCATGCCTCGGAACTGCTCACTCGGGCTTCCCTCTGCGCCACAGCAGGACGGTAGGACAGAGGAGCAGCGAGTGTGGCTTCAGGATCTGGTGCGAGGTGGAACCACAGGTTCTTAATGAAACATTTCCTGTGCGGCCCTGTGAGGCAAGCACCATGGCTGTTCTCATACGATAGACGAGGGAACTGGACACAGAGGTTGAGACACAGCCTGAGGGGCAGAGCCGGGATCGAACGCTGGTAATCTGGCTCCCAAACTGACCCTTGCCAATGTGCTAATCTCCTTCCCATGTGGATCTTAGCAAATGACTCAGCCTCCCCTGGTCCTGGCGTGCATGTGTAAAACAGGGCAGTTGTAATGGTGAGGCACACCCGGGGGTGGACGCACCACTCTGCACGGCATATTTTAGGTATTCAATAAAAACTGGCTGGAAAAATGAATAAAAGAATGGCAGAGTGAGAGTATCACAGACAGGGTAGGTGTGAGCGTGCTTTGTAAGCTACGTGATGCAAGGATAAACCAAATACTACAGTGACATCGATAATGCAGACGGAGCACAGCGTTATGGAGAAGAGTTAATATGCGAAATCCAAGTACAGCTCACTACTCATAACGGATAAAATGCTTAACAATACGCACACGTTTAATGACCTTACCGATGATAAGAAGGCAAGTGTAGAAAATAAGATTACTGCAAGTTTTCCTTCTATTTCTGAGTCATTGCAGAAGCATTCCATCACCTACAAGCTTTATCTTTGTTATCGCCAGGAAATTAGGCCACTGAGAAAGACAGCACTGGGTCCAATCCAGCCCGACTCTCCAACGACAAACGGCCAGCAGGGCACGTAAAGTTTACTTTTCATTTTTTTAATGAAGTGCCGGTTATTACTGAAGGAAAGCTCCTAGATGAACTCTGCAGGGGAAGAGGACACAGGGTGACTTTGAAAATTTGGCAGAGAGCTAGCTTCAAAATGTCAGAAATCCGCCTGGGCCGAAAAGAGCCGTTATTAGCTATTGGCTTTACGAAGAGAGTTGAATTCTACGGTGGAAACAACAAAGTTAAAGATTTGGGGGCCAAAATCGTAGGAGGAAGAAACAGCAGTCTGGCGGCTCTATTCTTTCCTTCCATTTCTCAGTTGTTCTTTGTTTGAAGAGAGACTTCCCAGATTATTTTAGGTCTCGGATGTGCTTCTGTTCCTTTCTTGCGCTGCCGGTTTGGAGTCGGCACGTTGCCCGCACACCGGCCTGCTGCTCTGGAAAGCTGTGTGGGTTGGAGGGTCCGACTCGGGCTCACGGCTGGGCTTGCCAGTTACCATCTCTCGACACCACACTCGCACAGCCAGGGTCCTGCGTGGTCCCTCTTCCGGCCCCGGGCACTGTGTCCACTTGACAATGCAGCCCCGGCCACAAACCTTGGAAATTAGGCATTTTTGTACTCTGGCGTTAGAAAGAATTACGTTTTTTATGCTGACAGTATTTCTAAAATCTGTGATCCTAAAACATCTTAGGTTTTTATCATTAATCTATGAATGAGTGAGGATAGTAACGTATAATCATAAACAACAACCAATGTCCTAAAGGAGCATGTGGCTTCTTAAAAGTTACTTATCTTACCTTTGTTTTTGTTACGCTCAGAATTACTTTATGCCTAATGGGAGCCCTACTCTGCTCTTTCTCCTTCCTCCCTCTCCCTCTCTCTCTCTCTCTCTCTCTCTCTCTGTCTTTCTCTCTTCTCTTTCACAGTTCTGAGAACTGAACCTAGCGTCTCACATATGCTAGGCAAGAATTCCACACCCGAGCCAGTCTCTGACTCTTGAGGCAGGGTCTCACTAAGCTGCCTGGGTTGGCCATGAACTTGCCGACCTCCTCAGCCTCCTAAGTGCTGGGATTACAGGCAGGCGCCTCCACACACAGCTGGATACTTTTTTTTTTTTAATAGGAAACTGTCACGGGATGAGATAAACACAATGACCCTCCACATTAAAGTTATGGTCTTGGCTGGAGCGACAGAATTCACAGTGCCGCGTGAGATATTGGTGTGGCTGAATGACAGAGATTAACAGGTATAGAAAGCTAAGAATCTGGCTTAGGCAAGAAAATGAGAAAACAGTGATCTATCACGGAGCAGGAAAGGAAATAAGGAGAGAGCGATTTGGGGGCGAAAGGATGGAGTCGCTCGGGTGCATCTGTGACACACGCAGGTGAGATGGCCGAGGTCTCCTGCACAGGTGAGTCTGCGCCGGGGATTGGGCGGCGGGGCCTGGCCGGGATGCACCTACAGCCAGTGCTGCACCCAGCTGTGCGGGGAGGAGGTCTGGAGAGACGGGGCAGGGGCTGGAGGAAGCGCTTGTGGAGAAGGCAGAGGCACACTGGGAAGGGGGAGGAGAGATCGTGGGTGTGTGGGGTGTCGTTTAAACCAAGAAGAAACTAACCTACGAGTTCAAGTAAGGAAGGACCCACAAGTCACCGCCAGCAACTTTGGAATGAGTCACATTGGCAGGACGACGGGCAAGTCGTGTAGATAACCTGCTTCCACGAGCGTAATGCAGGAGAGCCCTAGGGGTCCAGTTCAGGGCCTGGAAGATTGTCCGGCTCTCCCATGCTGTCTTTTTAGTTTCTAATGTGTGATGGTAACAGGTGATCCTTCCTCTTCGCAAGACACAGCTGATCAGCCCTAGGTTCTTAGGTTTTCTTGCTAAATTTCTCCTCACTGCTTCCTCGGCTTAGAGGACAATTATGTTTAGAATTAAAAGGGCTCCTCCTGCTGTGAAGCTTCCTTGCAGGAGTGAAGGGAGTTAGGTAAACCTCATAAGACTAAGAACTTGATCTTTTATCCCCTCAATTGCCTGTCCTTCCTTCTGGCTGTTGCTCAGACTTCAGCGAAGTGCTCTACACAAAAGGAACGAAATTAATAGTTGGTGAGTGAATGGTACAAGGAGCCCACAGAGAAGTTTATAGCTTTTGCCAAGTGGACACGAAAACAAGACATGCTGGGGATCATGACGAGACTGACAGACACGGAGAGGACACGGGCAGGGCTGGGTCGCCTTACGTGGCCTTCTGTGGTATTCCGAGGCTTGCGACGTGGCTAAGGGTCTTGTGGTAATCATCAAATGAGTTGGCTTTGCTTGGCCTGGAAATACAACAGAAGCAGACAGTGGACAGTGCATACCTGAGCCTTTCGAAAGGTGTTTTATCTGCGAGGATGGCTGGCAGCTCTTGACGTGCATTTCTCAGACACACTCACTGCATCCCCGTTGGTACAAATCACAGAAAAGAAAGCACATCCGAGGCACTGTTCCATGATAATGGTAAATGTGCTTCCATGCGTATATTATAAAAATCTAAAGGTTTGCGGCATCTGCCTTTGTGAACAATAGCAAAAAAGAACTTTAGGCAGCATTAAATCTGTAAATCCTCATTCTACAATAAAAATTTTCTTGAACCTTACCTCAAATTTTAGTAAAATTACCTTCTTTGCTATTATGAAGAGAGGATAAAAGTATCAGAATTGAGGTCAGTTTAATTATTACACAGAATCTGACCATTTTTTGTAGAGGGGAGAAGTAACTTTTCTACTACCTTCACCTGCAGTCTTCTTTCCCTTTGCTAATATTACTATGTTCTAGAGCCAAGAGTGCTGACACACACCTGTAATCCCGAGGCTCGGGAGGCTGAGGCAGGAGGGTCACCATGAGTTCAAGACCAGCCTGAACCCCACAGTGAGAACCTGTCTCAAAAAAAAATGTACTGGGAGAACAAAGATTATTCTAAAGTATTAAATAAGAACAATTAAACAGTCTCCTAACTGCATTTCCAAATATTTTCACTAAAACATCTTAGAGACCTTCTCAACACTGTCTAAACAAAACATTACCGAGCGTACCTTTCAGATGTGAAACCACCAATTAACTGGCTTAAAGAGATACTCAAACACCTTAAGTCTGTCTTCTAATTTAAGTTTGTAGCTCTCGCGAGGCAGTAGCTTTGAGTTAGGACAAGTCTATCAGCATTAATTTTTATAGGTAAACTGTAGGTAAATACTTGACTTAATTTTCTTATTGATGGGGCCGTATCTAAATGTGTTAATGCAGCCACTTGTTTAAGTAACAATTATAGGCACCTAGTTTTAAGACTGACAATTTTCAAATATGTTACTGCTCTTCTAATCACAGTTACACAGAAACCTGAAACTTGGTGAAGATGAATTAGTCATTACTATTACTGCTGCCTCGAGAGCTGCAAGCTACTATGAACTATACGCTCAGCTAATGCAAACTTGCAGGCGAAATGCTTAGGCCTTAGCAAGGAGGCAGCAAATAAAGGCTGCATTCTCTCTGCTGCAGAACAAGCTGTGATCAATCGGCTGCCACAGGTCACGGAACAGGCAACAATGACCCAGGAGGAAGGAAACTATCAACACATTGTCTTGTGAAAAAATACACCGTCATCGGGCACAATCGCCCCCATTGTGTTTTGTCTGATTGAGGCTGACCTGCAACCCTGCCCTTCTCAAGGGTTTTCCTGCTCAGTTTCAAACTGCTAGCCTTTGGGGCTTTCTTCTCTTTCTTCCAGAATAATTAAAAATATTCCCCCCAAATTACAACATTAGTTAGTTTGAAGATACGAAGCAGACTGTCTTAACATTTGGGAGTGTATTTGCATTTTTGATTCTACAAAGGAAAGAGCTTCTTAAAATAAGGGAACAGGATTACAGTTTACTATTATTCAGGTAAACTACCAAGACTTCTATCCTAGAAGGATGCATGCAGCATAAAAATCCCTGTGTTTATAGTTCCAGCCAATAATGTGAATTTATTGAATGTTATCACTGACATTATGAATACAAAAAGTAGAAGGCATAATTTAAACTGAACGTCAGAGCTTATTACCCTGTTGGGAAAATAAGATAAATACTTGGAGGAGGGCACAGAGCAGCTTTCTGTCAACACAAGAAACACTACATGGTTCTACCTCGACACTTGGAGAATGTGACATATTTATAGATGTGTCTTTAGCAGCAGGAAGGGAAGTTGGAGGCCCGGGACACGACTTGTTTTGAAGCCATCAGGACAAGAGCCACTTGGGGTTTAGGTCTGGAAATAGGGAGTGGACACTTTGTGCAGCGGGCAGCGCTGGCCAGGCTCAGAGGAAGGAGGGTGGTTTATCACAGACAGCTTAGTTAGATCGACACACAGCAGGCAGGCAGCCAGGGCTGAGCCCCCAGGAGCCAGGACAAAAGGTGAACCCTACAACTGCGGCCAGAGACACATCCGCTGGGGACTGGGCCTAAAGACGACAAGGACCAGGCCTACAGCCTTCCCCAGGGTCTGGTGAAGTCGAGAGGGCATCGGCCGCCTCCATGGGTGACCAGGACCCCAGACCGTCCCCTATCTGCGAAGTTCTCTGTTCTTTCCCTGTACTCTTGCGTCCCCCTTGGGTCACTGTCACCTGAGCGACCATCCTTGTAACCTTATTGGTGGATCACAGCTTTAACCCAGGTTGTACCCATGTGGTTTTGCTCTGTAAAACCTCCCTACAAAGTGGGGCCCCCAGCTACACCTTCAGGACCCTGCTGCCTTTCAGGAGCTATCCTATTAATAAATATCTTCATGCTCTTAACTGCCATTCCTAGGATTCATTCTATCTTAGAGAACACGAACTCGGTGTGTCAGGCACCTAACAGGATGGGAGATACAGAGTTTTCATGTTTCATCTCCTGCATCAGTGTGTACGTGGGTATACCCCAGGAGGAAAATGATGATCACAGCGTTTAGAGGGGTTGGCATTTGATAAAATAAGTGAAAGTGAGCGGGGCAGGATCTTCAAATTTAAGCCAATTCATATTAAACTTGGGGTTGATTCAACAATGCACTTTGTGGGGCAGCGGCCACCAGTAATCCTGGAAAAGGCAAGGAAATTACAAAATCAGCGTCTGAGGAAGAGTTTTCTGGGAAAGCAGTATACAAGGCAGATTATCCAAGGAGTTAGGGAATCAAATTCAGTCACAGGCAGGAGAGAGCAGGACCAGCAGAGTGGGAGCCAAGGCTAGGAGGTAAGGAGATGAATGAAAGAATCTGTGTGACCAGGGACCTGAAGGCGGGAAAAGTGGAGGGAGGCCAGCCTCGCTGAGACCAGCGGTGCGACGAACAGAAACTGAAGTAAAATACGAGTTCAATTTCAGACCTGGGCCTCAGGCGATGACAGGGCAGCCAGTCACAATGACCTCCAGGCGTGTGACTGAGGAATTAGGCAAGGAAAAGAGAGATATTTGGGTCAAATATCAACATAAAGATTGATAGATGAGGGCATTAGGGAAAACACACTCCAAATGAGTAAGACAGGGCGTAGCAAAGAAAGAATGGAAACCAACTCTCAGTGAAAGGGGCGGGCGAAGGGGAAGGAGGCTCAGTAAAGGGGAGAGGGAAGTAACCGACTTGGGACTTCAGGAAGCAAGGGCGCCTCAATGGAAGCCTGGAAGTCAGGCCCGAGTCTGAACTCGCTCGGCGACAGACCGGGTTGCGGGCCTGTGTGCCCCGGCCCAAGTCACACCCTCCGGCACACTGCGTGGCCGAGGGAGCCTCCCGTCCTGGGAAAGGAGCCGATGAAATGCTGCGCAAGCCTGGCCCCAATGTGGCTGGTCCTCACTGCTCTCCCGCCAACTCCAGGCTGCGTCCCGAGCGGTTTCCCACCTCGGACTGACTCCCTGGCTCTGGGCTGTGGCGCCTCCCATCAGTCACGTGTCCCACCTGCTGTCCAGCTCCGCAGGGCCAGGTTTAAACACTCGATGGGGCAGAGGCCAGTGCCGCCTGGTCCGCCGCTGGTCTCGGTCCTCTGTCCTGTGGCCCCCTTAACCCTGGGGTTCCTGCAGCTCTCCGGGCCGCACCACCACACTGCTGGCCATCCACAGATGGCCCTCTGTTCCTGTTAAAAGTGAACTCCCCAGGCACAGGGACCAGGGAAGTAACTCGATGCATGAAGCTCTTCATAGGGGACACCAGTTACTGTCTCAGGGGAGCGGTGTCACTGTCAAATTCTGCAGACACAACGCTGGTGATGCCGCTGACCCACCCTGGCTCTTAGAGCTGGATGGGTTCAGAATTCAAGCAGATTCCAGGGACCAGGCTGTGCTTTAGAGATCATGCTGGAACCTTGGCTTACAAACTCAATCTTTTCTTGAGGGCTGCTTGTAACTCAAGTTGGTCAATGGAGGCCCAGCTCCTCTGCACGGCCTTCAGAGTCCCTCTCCTACACACAGGCCAATCTCAGTGTCCTTAGAGAGACAACAGCCCAGTGAACCCCACACAGGAGAGGATGTGTCCTGTTCCTTCCAGAATTCTTTAAGGGTTAAGACTGTATCTGAGACCATCTGGAAGCACAAACGGCCAGTGTTCAAGTCATAGCTAGAGACCTTCTTCATAAATTAAAATTAAAATTCGGGTCATAACCCAGGTTGCTCATAGGTCAGGCCGGTCGTACCTTGAGGGTCCACTGTACTGAATCAGTGCTTTTCTTCACAGATCGTATACCTGGGAGTGTCTGCCCTCTAGCCTTGCTCACTGAGACCACCTTGTTAACCCAGGTCCTTGTTCTTCTGCGTACACTTTAGAGCCAGCTCACAAATTTCCAGGAGGAAGAAAAACTGCAGAGATTTTTAAAATGAGAATTAAATTGAATCTCTAAGTTAATTTAGGAAGAATTGATATTATAATAATACTGAGGTTTTCCTCAAACTGCAAACAGTGAATGTTTTTCTCTATTCCATTAGGTCTTTTAAAATTTCTCTTAGAAACAGTTTGTGTTTTTCAGTATAGACACGTTATACATTGTTGTGACATTGATATTGTTATGAGTGACATTTAAAATTTTTCATTTTATGTTGGTTGCTTGTGAGTGAATAGTAATACAGCTTATTTTTAAATATTCATCTTATAGCCAGAGTCTCTGCTAAATTCATTGCAATTCCCAAGCTTTGCATAGTCCTCTGGCTTTTACTATGCACGTAATGGTGTTATCTCTGGAACGATTTTCAATAGTCCCCCTTATTGACCAATACAGTTTACTGGCCAACACAAAAATATTAAATGGGAAACTGCAGAAATAAACTCTTCGTAAGTCTTACACTGCACACAGTCTGAGCAGCATGGTGAATCCTGTGCCACTTGGCCCCGTTTCCCTGGCAGTGACACACCTTTGTCCAGGGAACTTGTGCCGGGTAGACCAGCTGCCCATCAGTCACTGGGTCCCCGGTGTGGTCACGGATCCGCTGCAGTATGGGGCGCCTGTGTGGTCACCCTCGCCCAGGAGCCCAGAGTCCTGTCACAAGGCCTGCGCCATTCACCTGCCCCCACTCGCCATGGAGGCACTGTTTGATCTCCAGCTTAAAAAAGGTGCGTACAGGAAGAGGATGTTCAGAGAGAGCGCGAGAGCACATCCCCGTGACAGTTGCTGTTGAATATCGCCGTAAGTGTTCTATTTTATTTTTGTTATTAATCTGCTACTGTGTTTAACCGAGAAATTTAACTTTACCATGGGGGTGAATAGGGAAAAGCAAAATATACACAGGGTAGGTACTGTCTGCAGGGACGGCTCACCTTGGGCTCACCTGGATTGTCCAGGCCAACCACGCAGCCTGCTGCTATGGACCACGCTCCTGCACTGGTCCTGGGGAACTGAGGGGCAGCCTCCCCCGCTTCATCTCCCCTTCTGAGGAGTCCTCACCCACAGTACAGGTCTCCCCAGGGGAGGGCTGTGTCCTCAGAACTGGGGCTCTGTGTCTGGCCCAGGACATGCGTGGTGAATACTTGTTACATACGTGAATGGGAGCCCAACTCTGCCCTGTCCCCATGCACACCACCCCACAGGCCCTGAGCAGCACCCTGCTGACCGGCACGCAAGTCTCCTTCAGTGACTGAATATCGGCGGAATCCCTGTGGCCCTGAGACTCTGCCAAGTCTGTTCTGTCTTCCAGTCCCTCGGCTGCCCTGTGGAATGAGCTCCCCAGCCAGCTCCATTCTTCTGGCGCCCAGCGAGGAAGAGTTCTCAGCACAGCATCAAGAGGCTGTAATGGCCATGCTGGGGCAGAGGTCCCCAGATGGTCTCCGTGGAACTTGTCGTGAATGCTCTATTAAGAAGTGGCCCTGGCGGAGCGCTATTTCAGAATGAATGTATCAGGCATGAGCATTAGAATTGCTGCCCCATCTCCCCAGGAGTAGAGCGGCACTGAAACTCAGTGTGGACCAATGCGGCCCCAACAAGGCCATTTGAGGGCTCTGCACAGAGATCAGGGCAGCACAAGACCAACACCAGAATCCAATCTGACTCTGGGCCCTCTGGTCCTTGGTTGGGTGCAGCAGACGGGCTGGAGCCCGGCCCGCAGAGCTCCTGGGTCTCCTCTGACTGCCTGATCGTCAAGCTGCCCTGGATCTCTGTGCTGCAGTGAATTAGACACTTGTGGGAAGCTCAGTGATATTCCCAGGACCTCGCTGCCCTGCAGATGGTAAAAGAGGCCCATTCTGTGCCAGGCTAGGACCAGACCGACCCGCTTCAGGGCCGCAGGGCTGGCCCAGCCGGGTCTCAGCATCGCAGACCCTCAGCAGGTTCGGCGTTTCTCCTCTTTCAATTTTATCACCCTGTTTCCTAAACAGAAGCCACTTCAGCTTCCTGATTTTCCTCATCTTTTTTGTTGAGGGGTCAGGTAAGGAAACCTGAGCCCAGTCACATGCTATTTCAGCCCTCCACCTACCACCCCACTGGCCATTTTCCACATCTTGACCAACGAAAGAAACCAGATGAAAGCACTCGGGAGGCGAATGCCACAGAGCCGGGCCTGAGTCTAGACCCAGATCTTGTTCAGGAGGACAGGGCTGCCCAGATACACCCCGACATCAGCCCCCCTCGCTGCTGCTACTTCCCAGCAGAACCTCATCTTCTCCTAAATGTCTTGGGTGTCTTGAGATCTATAATAGGTTGGGTGCATTCTGTTGATGACATGTTTCCCGCTTTCAA